TAAATACAGAAATTTTCCAGAAACCCAAGCAATAAAGCATAGCATTGTTTCTAATGAATGAATAAACTGAGAGGTTGTAAAGTATGATGATATGTATTAGACATATTAAGTTAACTAACTACATTTAAGAAAGCGAAATTTCCACATATAACGAGATACATAAGAGTAACTTCTAGAGCTTTAAAGATCCAGAATCAGTTAAATAAGCGAAGTTGGGCAGGTCTTTAATGCACCATTAATTTCGGTTATCTTTTGTTTTTCTTTTTAATTTCTTTATAATTTTCTAGTTTATGCATTGCATGCAATTTAACTGCATTCAAAACAAAGCGCCATTTATGCATGTTGGTGTTAATTACCTTCTTAACTTAACCATCTGAACATTAGCTTAAGCGAAATAATGTAATTACAGTTTCGCACTGTAGTTCGCACAGTTCTGTGCACATTTTGAGCAATTAACAAGAATTTGTTCCGTTTCTTACTATTTCAAATTTGTCTGTAAAACAAATTTTATAACTGTTCAATGGAAAATTATGCTCTCAAATAGGCAACATATCCCAAAGTCTATTCTTGCGTTTTGACACAGAAAATTTAATTAACTAGTTTTAGGATTTATTACTGTATTTTTATTACAAAATCTATAAGTGGGCACTAAAATTAAGAAGAAAACAATATTATAATTTTTTTAAACGGGTGAAAATGAACCTGAAAAATGCAGTTGGATTTGAAAATAAATTATACTGAATCTTTAGTAAATCACGTCGACAAGTTTTCAATTATATCAATCAAGTTGAAGAAAATTGCTAATAGTGATTTATATACCTATCTGTTGCAAACGGATTAAAAAGTTCTTATTGGAGACCATCATATAATAGAAATTATTTTTTTGCAAAAACCCTTCGAAACTGTATCCTATAATAATATTTCAAATTTCTGTTCATATAATAATTTTCAACGGTTTGCTGTATCAAGCCCTTTAAATGTTAGGAATGTTACCGAATAGAAATCACCATAAAGATGTATCGGCACAATCAAATCAAATTAGCGAAATTATGCCGCAGCCTATAGTTCCGCCAATTTCCCTTCGAATAAAGATAGCAGCAGAAGGCTTTAATTCTCGCCTTGTTAATTAATTCGAATAATTCGAATGATAAATCCATTTGCATAATTGCCTTAATTGACGCCGGCTTCTTATTCAGCATCGTTTTATGTGAGCGATAGGAAACAATCAACTATTTTATGAATCTGTACATAAAATTGAATATCAATTCTATATACTTTAGATCGATTGGTCATGTAATTCAGAATATCTGTTCTGGTCTTGATTGTAAATTGATTTTATGACGGTTTTAAATTGATATCATTCGACTCACTATAGCGTATAATAAACGTAAAATCTGATATTTTTAGAAAAAGAGATTGCATTTAGATAAGAGTTTAACAAACAAAACAAAAAATTGTTGATTGCACCAACCACATAATGTTTGATAATAAAATTTAGAACAAAATAACAATTACCTTTTTATACAGGGTGTCAATTTATTGTATCAAAATGTAACAATTATTATTATGTATTGTTGTTTTATTTTTTTAATATCATTGCAGTTGTGGATTAGGTACTGATGTGCCAGAAGTCATCAAGTTTTCAAACGCATTTTTTTCTAACCGACTCTTTTAAATAACTGTCTACATAACTTAATACTTATTTTATCTGTATAATAAAAAGATAATTGTTTAAAGAAGCGAAGCAAAGAACTTGATGCAGCAAGAATTCAATTACCAAAGAATATAATGTTTCTGATCGCCTCTAAAATGTTAAAACACAACAATAAGAATACGCAGTGTCCCACTAGTCGTGCACTTTTTTGCACTCTCTTTCACTAAACACTCAAGCAATTTAATTTTCAAACCCTTTTTGTCCTCAAAATTAAGTGCTTTGTTGCTTCTTTAAAAGTCACAAATTTTACAAACTCCAACAAAAACTTTGATTTGAATTCAAAAAACTTCATTTTGAAAACTTCCAATCCTTAATATCTTTCTTGCAGTTATAGAAAATATGAAAAATCGGAAAGACCTGTAATTTTATTTGTAAGGGGACACTTTAAATCAATATTTTTGGCCTCCTTGCTTCAGCCCCCTAGGACGGGTAGATGTCACCCTTAGAATCTTAAATGGGAAGAGGGTCAAGTGGCACATCGTTTTAAAGGCCGTTCAATTATCTTTACATTAGTTATTACTTTATTGCTTTTTGTCCAGAGTTTCCCTCATAATCGCGTTTCAAAGTAGTAGAAACAATTAAACTTGCTTGCATTCGAATATTGGTTTTCAGGTTAGTATTTACACAAAAACAATTGAATTGGGTCCTTGTCTCCTTGTAATACAAATTATTAGAAGATTACACTGTTTTTTACAACTAGATTTTCTTCCTGTGATTTAACGATTTTAGCGGTATAACCGAATCTTCTAATCATTTGTACATCCAATGACAGAATTTTTGTTTAAACACTAATCTGAAAACCAAAATTTCAATGCAGGCAAGTTTAATTATTTCCATAATTTTGAGACGCCATTATTCGAAAACCTCTGAACAAAAAGCAACAAAGTAGTAACTAATGTAAAGAGAAGTGGACGCCCTTTAAACAATGTGCCACTTAACCCCCCTTCCCATTTACGATTATAAGGGTGACATCTAGCCGTCCTTGTGAGTTGAAACAAGGCTAAAAATATTAATTTAAAGTGTTCCCCTTACAAATAAAATTTACGGGTCTTTCCGATTTTTCATATTTTAAACTGCAAGAAAGTTATTAAGGGTGGGAAGTTTTCAAATTGACACCCGATATGTATATTCCACAGGCAACGAAACTTGTGGAAGATTGGAGGACAGAAAAATATAATTTTTAAATTTTTATTAAGAAATAATAAAAATATATAAGAATAATATAGAGAGCTATTGGCTATCAATTTATTGCAATTATTTGAGTGTTGTAGCAACCAAACGAAAATACGTTATCGAAAAAACCTGTTTCTGAAGATGAAATTTATAGTAATAGAATTGTTAATGCAAAAGTGTTTTCCGTTCCGGAAAAAAAATTTTTTGATTAACGGCCATACTTTAACAAATCCATTCTTAATACAGATTGATCAGAAATTTATTGGTATTGTATTAGATAAAATATTCAAATTCAAACGAGAATCTGCAGGCCTTGAGCTATCGAGTTGTCATGTTATTTCATCTAACATCCTCCTTGATTCACGAGCCTTCCAATTTGCTCTGCTCTTCCTCACTGACATTCCGAATGGTTTATGATATCTAAAGCCGTATTCACGACTACTTTTAGAACTATCTAACTCTCTTAAATATCTACAGTCGGAACGCAAGATGCTAAGATTGATAATCGACTTATCTTCGCATGGATAGGGTTTCGTAGTTTCAAAGTTAACAGATTTTAACTTGGCGGCAATTTACGGCCTTTGTACTTCTACGGATGATGTCATTTGTACAGTTAGCTCAAATGGGTACGCTTTTACAATAAAAGTCACTCGCGAAGATTAATAAGCATCTATTAAAGTCAATTATCAATTTTCAGTTAACAGGTATCTCAATAGGACAGACGTTATCGGAGACTTCATCGAAAATAGATATAAATTTCACAGTTATTGGATTTTTTTACGCCAGTGCTGTAGACCGAAGAAGTTAACTTTTGTCAACAAATACCAATATTTATTGATTAAAAAAAACGAATTTAGTATAAAACGAAACAATAATGTGCATCAAATTATATTTTTTATCCGAACATTTAGAAAATAAATATACTTTATGAGCAGCTGCTCTAGTTAAAACGATCGTTCTGAGGAAGAAAGCCATAGGAATGATAAATAAATTGGCTTCTTCTGTGTTTGATTTATCAGCCGGTGTTTCCCACGGGAGCTGTAACATCTCAGTTATGATTGAAGATGCGAACTCACCATATATGCTCAGTTTACGAGGCGGCGGTTAAAACGCGGAATGCCATCGCATTTCACGTTTTGTGCCGTATTGGCATCAATTGATCGCATCGATCTTGTATAATCAGTGAACCCGGTGTTATGGCCACATAAAACTAAAAGGACTTATTCGGAAGCCATCACACATACGTTACGAAATCCCCCTAGAATGATCAAATTGTCAAAAATAATAAGACAATTTCAATTACAAAACCAAGATGATTGTTTCACTATCTCTTTAGAGAAAAGAACGTGGAATGTGATTGGGAATGTTCAACCTGTTAACGAATAGTTAGTTTTAATATATCGCAATTTGGTTAAGTGATGAGTCTCAGAGTTGAACAATTCAGAGGTATTTTATTAGTTAGAAGAAAACTGATTTTTTGTTCAACTGAACATTTACAAGATTTTTTCGGCGAGAACTCCTGTAAAGTGCTCTAGTGTAGCAGCAGTTTTGCAACAGATGATTTGGGGCGTTTTTCAATGCTTCGTAATTTGCCCTAAGATTTCAAAAGCAGCAGCCGCATCTCAAACTAGAAATTCACATACAGAATCCCGTTTTTTGTTGGGTTTCAGTAATTATCTTATGAGTGCAACCTTACAACTAGCTCTAAAATATACTTTACTCCAAAATATTTCAACTCTTTCCATTACATAATACACCATTATAATATTTATTTACGTAACCAGTAGGATATGAATATTATTAACGCACGCATGTGAAGATTTGCACGACGAGGCTGGGGGCCGAATCGTGTAATCACATAAGTGCGTTAATAATATAATATCCTACGTGTTACGTACAATATTTTAAGTGCAACTATAACTATTATTATTTTAATAGTTATTTGAGGAAAAATAGTTAGTTATAAAATTGAATACAGAACACCGGTAATGAAAATTTGTTGTTGCCATCAGAATCATTGCCAAATTGTGTTTTAAAATTACACATTTCGTAATGAGTTCAAGCGATAATCTGCCATGTGACATCGAGAACGAAGCTTTTAATGTTGTTTCAGATCTTGTGCCAGGGAAACTACGGAAGAACTGCCAAGAAGCTTTTGATCGGTTCCAGAAATGGTGCAGTGAACGAAAGATACTCAACTTAACAAGCTACAAAGGATTATTAGTATATTTTAAGAAAGTAAGCATAATACAGGGTGGCCATTTTCTGAATATTTGTATCGGTAA